AATCTTTTCTTGTCTTAATGCGCATGACAATCAAATAACAAAAACGAATGCGCATCAAAATACGTCAAAGAGAGTAAAAGAAATACCAAACAATAGCTTGATTTTGTTGCTTGCATATTTTACTATTGTTTCGATTTATCTGGAACTATTCCTGTCTCAATGCGTTTGATAGTTAAATAACGAAAACGAATAAGCCTGAAAATACGTCAAAGAGAATGGAAGTAGTGTCAAAAATAGCTTTCTTTTGTTGCTTATAAATTTTTGCTATGTTTCGATTGATCTCCATGTATTTCTGTCTGAATGCGGTTGAGATTGAAATATTAAAAACTAATCAGGAGCTAAAGACGTCAAAAAGAAGCGAAATAATGTCAAAAAGTAGCTTGCTTTTGGTGCTTGCATGTTTTAGTTTTATTTAGATTTATTTGTATCTATTGCGGTCGGAAGGTAGATGAGAATGATATGATAAAATGTAGTAAGCATGAAAAGTGTTCAAATATAATCAAAATGACGTCAAAAAATAGCTTTCGTTTGTCGATTGTGTATGTTAATTTTTGTTTCCATTTATCTCGATTGATTTCTTTATCAGAAGAAATGACAACTAGAGGAAAAGAAGCTAATATCCATGGAAATGCGCGAATCATAATCGGCCTGATGTGAGGAAATAGCTTGGGTTCGTTCGTAGAAAACTTGTGTTGCTGAGTATTTATCGGCACAGTGGCCGAAATATGTGTTAAGAAAGGTTTGATGGTTTATGGACACGGTGTTTTAGCCAAATGAGCTGATTGTTTTCGGGTGGTGCGGATACTTCCAAGTTGCTGTGGCAAAGATAAAGTTTCGGATTGGCGTTTGGCACATTGCTATTCACAAGAGTAGAAAATGAAAACTTTTTTCTTTATAGCAATTAAACTTCCGACGTTTCTCAGGTAGGTACTCCAATTTGTGTCGGATTTTTCTATTTTTGGTTAGGATTGCGGTGTTGAACGCTTGCTGTATAAATACTCATTCGAATGTTTTTCTTTTAAAAGAAGTGGAAGGTTGTAAAGCTCAGCGAGTGCCGCGATTGAATTGAACCACGTTTGGTAGTTAAACATTTGTCAAGATTTTGATTTGACTGGCGACTTATTGGTCAGTAGAATTGTATCGCTGACCAGTGTTTTTCTTGAGAAAGGTTCAAAGGACGGATTTTAGAGCAACCTAGAGAATAAGGAAATGAAAGCGATTTCATTGAATCGATTTTGTTTAGAATTTTTCATCAAAAGTTACATGTCCTCCGTTATTCTCGAAAAAGCAAAATCATCAGAGTAGCTTCACTGTTTTCTCATCATACTCATGAAGTGAAGTGAAATATTAACGGAAAATGAAAGTTAATATATTAACGCCGCTAGTCTGTATCATTTTCACAATATGGCTTCCCTTATTTCGTAAAAACTAAAACGATAACAGTGGTTTGATTATTTGTTGATTACTCTAATTTAGTTAAATTGTTTACTGTAGAAAAATGAACATTAATTTATTATATTCAGTATTTTCGTATGTTTCTCATGTAGTGAATTTAATTTTTCTCGAAAAATCAAAACAACTTACATTTTAAAAATTTTTTTGGTAATCATTTTCTGTGCATTACTAGAGCTATTTCTTACCAATGTAAAGCAGCGAATTTTTGTTATAACTTACTGACGTAGATGTCTGCGTTGATAATGTTCCAAAACTAAACGGAACTAATTCCATGACTGCAATGAAAATGTTTTCGTTTGCGTTAAATTCATGTGAGATGCATGATTTAAATATTGAATTCAAATTATTTTTAGATGCTGTCCGCACACAGAACTTGTTGAGAAAGAACGTAATGTGTAAGGACAGTAAGGCGGCCATCCTCTGCCTATGTCAGCTAAAATTTAACATGGAGCTTTCAAAATAGCGGTTGCTCATCTATGATTCTGGCAAAACAAGAAATTGTGAACTTCATAGCAGTGCCCCTCAAATGGCACTGGACCGGAGCAATGCAAGAAGCTTCTGTATTGCTCGAAGTTAATTCTGCCGCAAGCTCTCCGCCTCTATGATACAAATGTTCATAGTTTCAGTTCAATATCTGGATTATTATTAATTGTTTTACTGATATGAATCTGAAATGTATATACAATCATTTGAATTGTATGTCACTGCTTAAAATTTAATCATTTTCATGGAATGATTTACGTGCCAAAGTCATGCATGAAAATGTCCGTTTCTCGATGGCAAGTTGCAATTTTTTCATTTTCGACGTTATTTTTTGTCATGTTTTTATTCCATGAAAACTGTAAGAGATTTGAATAGTTTACAGTTAAAGAGTATGAAAGAATTCGAAGCAACTGAATAAAATAAATGATGAATATTATTTATCATACCGAACAAGGCTTCAATTAGTTATTGAGATCAACAGGAATTATTTTCAACATCACTCATAAACGCAATTTTTTCGAATAAAAACTTGAAACTATTCTTTACCATTAGAAAACAATTCAATTCCATTGACCGCAATACAGTGAAGATAAGCTATGTTCTTTTTTTAGATTATTTCAGGGACAGCCTATAGATTTTATCAAACGTCCTATTACTGTTTTATAAGATTAACAGATTCCTTTCGAGTATCGCATATCAACTTATTTTCAATAATTTCAACATCGAATATTGGATTATTTTCCTTGAAGAAAAATTGACGTTTTTTTCCAAATGTTTAGAAAGAAAACGATTGATAATTTTTACATCTTCTTAAAGTAATAAAGCCTTGAATCAAGGAGTCTATGGGCTTTTTTATTTCAAACTGAATTCGAAAATCAAAAAAAACACACCAATTTCTTCTGAATCAAACTTTTCTCGCTTGATACTACGTAGTCTCACTAAAAACCCTTAGTCCCCCCTAGTCCTGCAAAGTCCCCCTTAGTCCCCCCCACAAAAACCTTAGTCCCCGCTTAGTCCCCTGTGCAAGGGACTAAAGCCTATAGTACACAAAACCACAAGCACACCCTCACCCTCACTCGCGCGCCCACACCCGCACCATGGGTGTGGGTGTGTGTGTGGGTCCCAGACCAACACCCACACCCTCAGTCACCCCCCTCCCTCACTCCTAGACTCACGTTTCAGTTTGAAATCAAGTATTATTTTTATTTGATGAATTCAGACTGAAATTAAATAGCCCATAGTATGGAATCAAGACATTGCTTGAACATGCTTCACAGCACTCAATAAAACTATAAGTTTGTGACTTATTCAACGATTTTTTAGTCTTGTGATTAGAATACCTCAGCTGAAAGATGATTTTTTTAAAAAAGAATGAAAAACAGATCGACTTATATTTCTCAAAATACAAATCAATCTGCTATTCTCAACTCTTGCTTTTCAGCAACCAATCCAGTCAAACAATTGAATTATACTAAATAAATGAGTTAAAATTAAAATAATGAAATAATGCAGAGTTAATTTCGCCGACGCGTTTCGTGTTATTTATTGAAATATTGAAACACTCATCAGGGCTCTGCATTAAAAAACAAAGGTATAATTAGAATAACCACACTTGATAAAATAAGGTAAAAATAAAATAGAAAAAGTTAGGAGGCAAAAAATTAAAAATTAAAGAGAAATAAAGAAGAAAAATGTTTCGAAAAAAGATGATTATTTAATATTTATATAAGTCTTTTATCTTGTGTAATTAGCTGGTAGGCAGCTTTTGGATATAAGGAGATATATAAGGCAATTTTGTATTGTAATAAATTTTTTGTAATAATAGTAATAATTATACGGTTGTTATAATATTGGTTGACTGTATAAATTATAATAAGTAGATTTGTTTATAAGCCAATCTATATTTTATAGATAATTTATTAAATAAATATATAATTTTATTGCTATATTGAAAAGCTTTGCAATCGGGATTGTAACATTTGTTATATATAAATATTGAAATTTGTTACTATATTGAAAAACTTTTCAATCGGGATTATATTGAAAAGCTTTGCAATCTGGATCACGACATTTGTGTGTCGATTGCTATATTGGAAAGCTTTGCAATCTGGATTATGCCATTTGTTAAATATATAGAAAATTTTTATTAATATATTGAAAATTTTTATTAATATATTGAAAAGCTTTTCATTCTGGTTTATGACATTTGTGTGTCGATATTAATTTTGTATTTTGAAAAGCTTTATAATGTAAATTATCATTTTTATAATTACTAAGTAATATTGAAAAGCTTTATAATGTGAATTATCATTTTTATAATTACTAAGTAATATTGATCATTATTGATTTATGTTCTGGTATGATATTTGTTAAATAGATAGAAAAATTTATTGATATTTTGAAAAATTTTTTGTAATATATTGAAAAGCTTTCCAATCTGAATTATAACATTTGTGAGTCGATATTCCTATTACTGATTTATGTTCTAGTATGAACTAATCTGCTTTGGAGGTTATTCAAATTACGTGTACCAAGAATAGGTATAATCTCGTTGATTGGAGATTCTCCAAAATATTTATTCCAAAGAATATGGAATTTAACAGGAAATGTTTTCATACTTGAACAATATGTAAAATGTATGAATATTGTTTTTTTGTAGTCAATCGGTACTTTTTCTCTTATTGGAGAATTTATAACCATTTGACGATATTGAGAATAATTATTAAAAGTTAATGGGTCTTTAATATTGAGTTTTATTAGTATATTATTAAATTGTTCATTTATAAATTTGTTTGGATATTTATTTAATAGTAATGCCATTCGTAATTTTTCACGTTCATTCAGGTGGGCCTGAAATGTTGAGCAATATCTAATAGTACGAAGTAACATAGTAAATACTACATTTTTCTTCATATGTAATGGATGAATGCTATTGAATGGTAAATAATACGGTTCGTAGGATGGTTTTTGAAATATTGAAGTAAATAATACTCCATCTTGATTTTCTATATGTAAATCGAGAAAATTTGCTGTTGAACCTATATTTTCTGATAATTTAATATTTTCGTCGAAACGATTCCATCTGTCGATTTGTTTAAATAAATGGCGAACGGGCCAATTAATTGCAAGAAATATATCATCAATGTATCTAAAATAAAGTCCGCCACTATTATTAATTTGTTTAACAATTTGTTGTTCATAAAAGAACATATAACAATTGGCAATAGTTAATGTAAGAGGAGAACCCATTGCTCCTCCACGGACTTGATGATAAAATTTATTATTATAAGAAAAATAATTATTTTGCATAACAAATCGACTTAATCGAATAATTGTTTCAATTTTAAGGCCACCAATTTGTTTTAGTTTTAAATGATCTAACATTTTCTTTAATAATAGTACTCCTTCTGTTTGTGGCACCATTGTGTAAAGGTCCATAACATCAATTGTACAGAATAAAGTATCTTCACTTATATTTGTTTTTGACCATTCTAGTAATTGTTTTAATAATTCAAATCCAGAAGTTACTGTTGTCTTTGAAGCTATTTTATCAAATAATGGTCTTAATAGTTTATCAAGAAATTTTGATATTTTGACTGTAGGATGTTTGAGACCAGAAACAATTGGACGAAGAGGAGTACCTGGTTTATGAGCTTTTGGTAAATAATATAAATGAGCAAGTTCAACTTCATTTGGATTAATACATAATTTTTCATATTGTTTTTGAGTAATCCATTTAGCTAATCGTAAGTCTAACAAATATTTATTGGTTCGTTTAATTAAATCTGGTAATGGATCATTTGTTCCTAAGCATTTATATGCTTGAGTTTTAGCCATATATTCATCAGATTTTTTGTGATAATCTTCAGATTTACCCAAATGGAATACTTTTGATTTGTCCGACTTTCTTAAGATTATATTAGTTAATTTTAATTTATATCTTAATCTTTTAACTAATCGGTTATAATTTTTCTTCTTTTTTATAGTATTAATTAAAATCTTTTGAGATTGACTTGATTGTATAACAGATTCTAAATTCTCATATGATATATTATTTATTTCTTTATCTTTTTTATGTTGATCTGTTTTTGGTATATTATGTAATCTTTGAAGCACATTATCTATTTCGGCAATAAATTGTTCGACTGGACGACCAGGCTTTACTTTCTTTTCAAAGAATCGAGTTTCTATTTTTCGCTTAAGAGCATTTAATTCGATTGTACGTCGTCGAGATGCCGTTTTTGGATCATTGTAGATAAACCGAGGACCTAACTTTAATAATTGGTATTCTTCCTCGGTTAATGGAATATTTGCTTCATTGATTATGGCTGGAGCAAGAATTCCTTGCCCAGCGATCGAATTAAAGTCGGGGCAATTATTTCTTGTTGTTGTGGATCGTTTGTATCGCCCTCGACTTGCTGTTCGGATAAAAAATGAATCGATTGTTCGGCTTCTAAATTTAATCTTTTTTCACGTAAATTATGGTAATGTTTGAATGCTGCATAACCAGGTTCAGCATCAAAACCATCGTCATTATCTTGAGGGAAGCCTTCAATAATACGTTTAATTTCATTCGATAATAATTCATTTTCTCGAGTTAATGATTGTACATATAATGTTATTGCTTGTATTCGAAAATCTTTAGTAATTTGACGCATTTGATTATATGTAGCTTGAGCTTCTTCGTGATTTATAATTGATTCGTCAATTTTAAATAAAAAATCGACTTTTTCAATAAATTTTGGAGGTATATCATATTCAACACGTTTGGCTGCTGTAAGATAATTTTTATTTTTAGTTGACCAAAGTTTTATTTTCGGTTTTAAAGTTAAATGAATATTCCATTGAGCTGGAGTAGCTATTTGTTCAAATTCTTCAAGAGCTTTAAATTCATCTAATTGTGCTTTGGCCAATTGAATTTTTGTTTCAGCCAATTTCTTAACATGTTGTGTATATGTATAAATATATTCTAAAATATAATTTTCTAATCGTTCTGTAGGTTCACGAATTTGATTTTTTAAACTTGTTGTTGTTGTTGTAGTTGTCGTTGGTGCTGTTGTTGGACTAGTTACTGTTGTAGCTGCTGTTGTAGATTTTTTATTATTAATTTTATCATAGACAATATTTCCTATAATATCAGTCAATTTTTCTCCATTTACTTGTGTCCAATATGTAGTTAATTGGATTTGTAAATTGGAAATAGTAGCACTAGCTTCAGTAATATTTTGTGTTAGTCGATTAATTTTCTTTTGTACAAAACGAGTATTTATTATATTATCTCGTTTTTTTGTACGTTGAACGACTTCTTTGGCCCAATGGTTTTGTTCTGTGCCCATTTTTAAATATGTTTGCCAGATTTGTAATTCGTAATTATCTCTGACCCATTTATCATAGATAGGTGCACTAGCTAATAGATAAGCTTGATTACCACGACTACTTAACGGATTTTTTGTACCTTTTGTAAATTTATCTTCAAACCATTTTAACATTCGATTTGGTTCGAGATAGAGTTGTATCTTTTTTGATTTTTTATTATTATTATTATTAGTTGATTCTTCATTGATTATTTCAATTTCATCTGGATCAATATCTTGTATATTAGCTAAAGCAGCAAATCGATTATTATTAACATCTCTATTTTGACGATATTGTCCTTGTCGATTTCGACGTTGACGACGTCTAAATGATGCTGTTGTAGTTATTTGTCGATTTTGCTGTTGTTGTTGCCAATTTTGATTATTTTGATTTACTACAAATGGTTGTGTCGTATTATTATTATTATTATTATTATTTGTTGTAGTTGCAAAAATTTCACGTTGTGGTAATGCATCTGGTGGCGCATTTAAATTAAATTCTGGTGGAAGATTTTCAAGACTAGGCGAACGTTCACGTAATTCTGTTGGCATAAAATCATTTAATTTTAATTGTCGTGGACGACGTTGACGTTGTTGTCTTGATTGACTTCTCCTTTGTTGTTGTTGTTGAATTGAACGACTTCTTCTTCTTTGATTTATACGACTATTTGGTTGTCGAAAAAA